AGGGAGTGGGAAGCAAAATATTGACCATGGAGGAACAAAGAAACCAGGTGTTGGGATGGGAGGGAAGGATCACAGAAGCAGGATGTGACACGCTACACCCTAGGGGAGGGCCCTGTAACCCCCAGATTCATCATTTGTATATAATTGTGATATTGCCTACAAAGCAGGCCTTGTAAGCTGTCATGGGAAAGGTTAGGATCTGCTGAAACCCACTCTTCCATCCAAATGCATCATTAATGCATATGAAGTTATGAGAATTGTGTTGGAGGATTGTCACGAAAATATGCTGTGAACTGGGGAATCGCCCAGATACTAACTCCCCAAACACAATCACCAGGGGGAGAACCAACGCCCGGGCAGGTGTCGAACAACCGTCAACAGCCATTGTCCAGCAAGGGAGCGACAATGCAATGACTCGCCTTCATAAGGCCACACCAGGGGAATTGCTCAATCTTGCCTGGGGACTCAGAAATGCCCACCAGACATGCCTGGACTTGTGTTCTCCAAGCAAATGGACTGAGGGTATAAAACTGAACACGGGGGCCCCACCCTTTGCCTTTTTCCTGCCCCCCACCTATGCTGCAAGGAATGAGGACACTCAGAAGACCGAAGACTCCAACAAAAAGAGATTGTCCCAGGTTTCAAGGATGAAACCTGTGTACTATGAACTGCAATATCCAGTGGGGTGAGAAAAAACGGCTTAGTCTAGATGTTGACCAGTCTAATAGGGTTGAGAGTTTAGACTGCGTACTTACATTTTAGTTTATTTTGGTAACTAACTCTGATTTTTTGCCTGTCACTTATAATCACCTAAAATCTCTCTTTTGTAGTCAATAAACGTGTTTTACTGTTCATCTTTACCAGGGAGTTTGCCTGAAGTGTTTGGTAAACCTGCTCAGGTTTACAAAGGCTGGTGTCTATCCACTTTCCATTGAGGAAGATATATTCCTGAGGTGCAAGACTGGGAGCTTGGGGGATTTGGCTGGTGCCTTTCTCTGTGTGATTCATGAGTGGGTCTGGGAGCATTCATGCAATGCAGCTGAGTGTGGGGGCTCACCATGCTAGTGGCTGAGTGATCACAGCCCTGGAGGGGTTTGCTGCTTGGCACTGGCAAAGCCTTGTGAGAGACAGCCCAGGCTGGAGAGTTAAGGGGCCACAGCGGTCCCACAGTCCCAGACTGCACCCCAGGGATCCCATCACACAGAAGGAGGGCAGAGATGGGGAGGAGAGGAGAGGAGATGGGCATGCTTTGATAGCCAGGAGGGGATTCCTGTTCAACTGTGGACCAGCCAAGGTGAGAGAAAGCTAGCTGAGTGGAAAAAAAACCATCGTGACTTGGAAGAAAAGCCAGGAGCTGCGGGGAAAGGATATGGGGCACCCCACGGTACTGTGTCCAAAGCCAAAGCACTGCACACTCCCCAGCAGTGAGGAACCCGAGCCAGGGAAATGCACGTAGGTGGGCTGGATATTTTGTCTAGAGCTGTGTGTTTCTTGTGCTCGTGAGCACAGCTGAGTGACAGTGTTTGGAGGACTAGGTTATTTGCTGAAATATGTAGTTTGGAGTCTACTAAAGCTATTCTCAAATTCAGATTGAATTGGGCAAATAGTTTCAGATGAAAAAACTTGGAAAAGTGGAACCGGTTCTTTGACACATTCCCAACAAAACATTTTCTCTTTTCATTTCAAAGCAGTGCTTTATTTTGAAATTTAGCTAGATTTGTATTTTTTAAGAAAATCTAAATAAACAGGGATAAAGAAAGAAATCCCATATTTCAACCCTGACAATACCCCTTGCTCTAACCTCCATGATAACCTTCACCCAATGATACCCTTAACCCTCACCCCATTATAACCTTAGCCCTATGATAACGTTAACTCTTATCCCTAACACTGATGATCCCACCTTATCCCCTCTGTTCTAACCCACAATCCCCACTCCCCTCCCACAGTTGCAATTGGACCCAGGAGTTCTGACTGAGTCTCGTTTTCACTGTGCATGCCATGGGCAGGTAAGGATTTTGGCTGGCGCTGAGCATAGCAGGACTGTTCTGGGATAATGGGCGGAGCTTGGAAATTATGGGTGGAGCTACTGTCACTCATTCCCCTCCACACACGTTCTCAGGGCCCAGCAATGCCTGCGGATATCCCGCCCCCTCACACACACACACACACACACACACACATATTAATATCTGTGCCTTTTCTTTCTTCACTCCCTAGGTCAGAGGTTCTCAAACTGGGGGTTGGGACCCCTCAGGGAGTCGTGAGGTCAAGGGGGATCACGAGCTGTCAACCTTCACCTCAAACCCCGCTTGCCTCCAGCATTTATAATGGTGTTAAATATATTAAAAAGTGTGTTTAATTTATAAGGGGGTTGCACTCAGAGCTTGCTGTGTGAAAGGGATCACCAGTAAAAAAGTTTGAGACCCACTGCCCTAGGTGCTCAGGGGAGTTGGAATCAGACAGGCAAGATACCCACCACAAAACTCCAGCCTCACCTGTCCTGGACATGTGTCATGAGAAAGAGACTGGGTGTCAGGACTCCTGGGTTCAACCCCTGGATCTGGGACAAGAGTGGGAGCTAGTGGGTTAAAACAGGGGGGGCCGGGAATCAGGATTCTGGGTTCTTTGTTCATCCCATTGTCATGTTGTCAGGTGCCTACTGACAGGGCAAACCAAAAAACAGGGCAGACACTCCAAACTGGTGATATGTTCTGAGTAATTTCACCAAACCAGTAACAAATGTGACCGACTCACCATGGAGTCACAGACAGTCCCCTTGCACTCTCCAATCTCTCTTGCCACCCAGACAAACTGGATATAGTGATAAATGGTCAGAAAAATCATACCACATTCAGGTTGGTTGCAGTCCCAAGACACCAGTCACTTACCCCAAATCAGTTGGTGCCTTAGATCCTAAACCAAAGACAACACCGGTAGCCAATCCTTGTTAGGGAGGTGATTATCCACCATTCTCTTGCTGTTTCCTTTGACTACCCTAGTTTTACTACTGCGGGTTACTTGTTGCAAAATACTCCTGGTGCAGTCAGCATCCCACCACTGCCACCACCTGTCACAGAGCCACGGGATCCTTTCTACGGCCCCATCTTTGGAACTCTAGGATGAACCACTTCAATGTGCCCAACCCTCTTGGGGTCTCACTCTTCCTCCAGGGTAAGTCAGGTGGCTTCATCCCCCTCGACTGAACCTCTGGGGCTCCAGCCCTCCTGCTTCACACTGGGAGCTCTGCTTAGCATGTCCGACTGAGCCAGATGCCTGACAGAGACGTATCCATGCTGCAGGGACCAACGCACCTCACCCAGCATTTGCAGCGACACTCACACAGCGCTGTCAAAACCGTCGGGTTAGTCACCTGCCACACAGCACAGGGGGAGGGAGGGTCCTTTGTGGAGCACAGAGAACTGAAGGCTAATGCATGGCCCATTCTGGGCAGCCCAGAGCCCAGGCAAGCGGCAGTGAACCCCATGTTTGAAGCTCTGTCTCTCCATCTGACCTCCTGGGTCCCCAGGTGAGAGCCCCGACTCCTTCCAGCACCCAACGCTTATCCCCCACAGCCAGTCCTGTGTTCTGGAGCTGGGGGGTGCTTCTCATCTTCCCTGCTGAGAGGTGAGGAAATCCATCTCCTGCCGGGGCGCAGGTTGCCAGGTGTCAACGGCTGGTGCTTGGATTTGCCGTCATCTTCATGGATTCTCCACCAACGTGGGGTCGGCCCGTCCTTTTCCAGTGCCCCGGCCCGGCTCAGACAGCGAGGTGACGGTCACAGCTAAGGACCTGTCTACACTTGAAATGCTGCAGCCGTGGTGCTGTAGCGCTTCAGTGATGCTGCGCCCGACGGCGGTGGGAGGGGTTCTCCTGTCAGTGTAGTTAACTCCCCCCCCCCCCCAGGGGCGGTAGCTAGGTCGATGGGAGAACTCAGTTTAACAGCATTGCTCCGGGGGTGGGGGTTGGGGAAGGATTTTTCACACCCCTGAGGGACATAGTGAAACCGATCGAATTTCCCAGTGTCTCTAGCCTTCCCTGAGAGCAAACAGTCCTTTCCCACACATGGGGTAACAATGCAGCATGCAGGGGAAACTGAGGCACAGCTAAGGAGCATAAAAAATATTACAGGACATTCCCACTTTGTCACACTTGGTCTGGGGAGTCAATGCCATGCCTGGCATGATGGGAACCCAGATTTCAGTTTGGGGGGATCTATGCAGCGCCCAGCATGATGGCAGGGGGGGGGGAGGACGGGACTGACCTCAGTCGACTAAGTTTGTCTGTGCCGTGCCCGGCATGACAGGGGGCCACGTCTCATTTGAGGGGGGTCTGAATGGGGCCAGGCACAACAATAACCTGGATCTTGGTCAGGGTCTGTGCAGCACCTGGCACAATGGGGGCCTCAGTCCTGGCTGGGGAGGGATCTGTGCAGCACACAGCCCCTAAGCTCTGCCATCCCACAGCTAACACCAAGCCGCGGAGCCCGTGGGAGGCTGTGGCAGTGGCAGGACGGGACCTAGCGGGAGGTGGCACCAGCTGCTGCGTGGCTGCTGCCGGGAGGAGACCGAATTTGCAAAACCGATTTATTGACGATTTTCAGAGCACGCGTCCCGGGATCAAAGCAGCTGTGGGGCCCGTCCCCGTCAGCTTCCCAGTCGCCCCCAGGGGGCGCTGCAGGGCTGCAGGAAGGGCTGGATATAACCCCCCACCCCTGCGCTCCCCATTCCCATAGCGCCCCTGTGCTTCCATCCACCATCCTCTCCCAACCGCGTCCCAGAGATCCCAGCAACGTGGGGCCCACACCCGGTGCCAAGGGGGGTCTATAGACACCCCGGCTGGCGGCTCCAATCCCCTTGCAGCTTATGCCCAGATAGAGAAGCCCCTGCCCAGAGGGGGGTGAGACACCATCTTAGTGGGGGAAGGGGTGGCTGTGCCGGGTGAGCTGGAGGGAGCATCTGTGCCTGGGGGTGGCATTGATGGAGCCCCCAGGGGGCAGGTCACAGGGCTGTCAGGAGGAGCCCAGCAAGCAGCGGTATGACAGGAGAGAAGGCGGAAGGGTTGGCGCCACCAGTGACCTCCTGGATCCAGTTGGCATAGAACGAGACCTGGATGTACACCCCGGGACTGGGGGTTGAGGAGTCCGTGCAGTTAGCCCCCCAGCTGACGATCCCAGCCAAGAGGAAGTTGCCATTCCTTGGACAGACCAGAGGCCCCCCAGAGTCTCCCTAGGGGAGAGAGAAGGACATTACAGTCAGCCAGGGCCGGCTTCAGCCTTTTTTTGCTGCTCCAAGCGGCGAAGAAAAAAGAAAAGAAAAAACAAACAAAGAAACACCCGATTGAGCTGTCGCTGAAGTGCCGCCAAAGAGGAACTGAAGGGCCCGCAGCCGAAGACCCGGACGTGCCACCCCAATAATGGATGGAGTGCCGCCCCTTTCTATTGGCTGCCCCAGGCACCTGCTTCCTTCGCTGGTGACTGGAGCCGGCCCTGCCATCAGCAAGGTTCACTCCTTTGCCTCCCTTCCCACAAAGAGGCTCCTGTTTTTCCTCTATCAGAGCAGGGAGAGAACCCAGGAGTCCTGGCTCCCAGCCCCCCCTGCTCTCACCCACCGGACCCCACTTCTCTCCCTGAGCCAGCGATAGAACCCAGGAGTTCTGGCTCCCAGCCGCCCTGCTCTAACCACCAGCCCCCACTTCTCTCCCTGAGCCAGGGATAGAACCCAGGAGTCCTGGCTCCCAGCCGCCCTGCTCTAACCCACCAGCCCCCACTCCTCTCCCAGAGCCGGGGAGAGAACCCAGGAGTCCTGGCTCCCAGCCACCACCACCCAGCTCTAACCACTAAACCCCACTCTCTTCTTATGACATGTCCTCCTTCCGTGCTGGGGTAGACCTACCACCGTCACTCGATCTGTTTTCTCTGGTGTTAAGCTCAGGTTAAGGCAGACCCGTCCCAGTTCAGCAGGGTCAGCGCTCGGAGAGTTCCTCTCTCATCCTACAGAGCCTTTTGAGGTCTCCCAGTATGCACTGCTGCTGGGAGAGCCACTTTCATCGGCAAGGAGACGCAGGAGAAGATCAAATTAAAACATCACCCACCTGGGCCTTTTGGGGGAGCGGGGGAGGAAGGGCCAATGTTTGCAAACAGAACAGTGGGCCAGATAATTTCAACCGGCCCAAGCATTGCCCTCACAAGCCAAGTAGCCCACCTCGCAGCTATCGCGACTGACTCCTAGGGACCCAGCGCACAGCATGTCCTCTTCGATCCCAAGGCTGCATTCCCCATAGTGTTCTCTGCAGGTCGACACATCGACGAGAGGAACCTGCACCTCCTGGAGTGTCTGGGGCAGCGGAAGCGTATCTGGAATGAGAGAGCTGGAGATGGAGCCACTGGGAGGCCGAGGGAGCTGGAAAGGACGGGGCCGTGCTGGGAAAAATCTCTCCCAATGCAACGTACTGGCCAGGCGTGTGAACAATGTCGCCATCTAGGGGCTGCAACTCACAGTGCACATAAACATCAGAGTCTTTGTGTGTGTGTGTGTGTGTGTGTGTGTGTATGTGTGTGTGTGTGTGTGTACAGTGAGTGGGTGGGTAGTGGCGTGTGTGTGTGTGTG